CATAGGGGTCCACCCTCGGCTCCAGCACCAGTTACTTCACCACCCACTCAGTCAGCTAGGGGTGGAGCTCAGTCAGCTAAGGGGAGGCCGATCAGGTGGTGGCCAAGCCCGTTTCTATGCACACCCTGCCAGACCAGATGCTATTGCTTCAGACACAGTGATCACAGGTATGGTCTCAGTATGTCACCGAGATGCTTCTGTACTATTTGACCCTGGTTCCACCTATTCATATGTATCCTCGTATTTTGCTCATTATTTGGATATGCCCCATGAGTCTTTAGCTTCATTTGTTCATGTATCTACTCCGGTGGGCGATACTGTTATTGTGGACCGTGTGTATCAATCGTGTGTAGTGACTACTGGGGATTGGAGACTAGAGTTGACCTTTTACTGCTTAGTATGGTTGATTTTGACGTGATATTGGGTATGGATTGGTTGTCTCCCTGTCATGCTATTTTAGACTGCCACGTTAAGACCGTAATGTTGGCGATGTCGGGGTAGCCTCGGATTGAGATCTTATTTGGCTTTTATGTGGGATGTCAGTGCAGAGACCCCTACTATTGATTCTGTCCCAATGGTACGAGATTTTCTGGATGTGTTTCTTGCAGACATGTCGGGGCATGCTGCCGGACAGAGATATTGACTTCGGTATTGATTTGGTGTCGGGCACTCAACCCATTGCTATTCCTTTGTACCGTATGGCACCGGCTGAGTTAAAGGAGTAGCTTCAAGAGCTCTTCGAGAAAAGGGTTTATTAGGCCTAGTGTGTCACCTTGGGGTGCACCGGTTCTATTTGTGAAGAAGAAGGATGGCACCATGAGAATGTGCATTGATTATCGACAGTTGAACAAAGTCATAATCAAGATCAAGTATCCTTTGTCACGTATTGATGATCTATTCGACCAGCTTCAGGGAGCGAGAGTGTTCTCCAAGATTGATTTGAGGTCAGGCTATCACCAGTTAAAGATTCGGGACTCAGATATTCTTAAGACAACTTTCAGGACCCGTTATGGTCATTATGAGTTCCTTGTGATGTCTTTTGGGCTGACCAATGCCCCAGCAGCGTTCATGCATCTGATGAACATCGTATTTCAGCCATACCTCGACTCGTTTGTTATTGTATTCAATGATCATATCCCGGTGTACTCTTGTAGCCATGAGGAGCATGCCTAGATTTGTGGATTGTGTTGCAGCGGTTGATGGAGGAGAAGCTTGATGCTAAGCTCTCCAAGTGTGAGTTCTGGCTCAGTTCAGTGGCATTCTTGGGGCACGTGGTTTCTAGTGAGGGTATTCAGGTTGATCTGAAGAAGATAGAAGAGGTTCAGAGTTGGCCCAGACCGTCCTTAGCCACAAAGATTCGGAGCTTTCTTGGGTTGGCTGGTTATTACCGTTGGTTCGTACAAGGTTTCTCTTCTAGTGCATTGCCCTTGACCAAATTGACCTAAAAGGGTGCTCCTTTCAGGTGGTCGGATGAGTTTGAGGCGAGCTTTCAGAGTCTCAAGACTGCCTTGACCACAGCTCCAGTTCTAGTTCTACCATTAGCTTCTGGTTTTTATACCGTATATTGTGATGCTTCTCGGATCGGCATTGTATGTGTTTTGATGCAGGAGGGTAGAGTGATTGCTTATGCTTCACGCCAGTTGAAGCCCCATGAGAAGAACTACCCTGTTCATGATTTGGAGTTGGCTGCCATAGTTCATGCGTTGAAGATTTGGAGGCATTATCTCTATGGTGTGCCTTGTGAGGTGTTTACTGATCATCGTAGCCTCAAACACTTGTTCAAACAGAAGGATCTCAATTTGAGGCAGCGGAGGTGGTTGGAGCAGCTAAAAGACTATGATATTACTATTCTGTATCACCCGGGAAAGGCCAATGTGGTGGCCGATGCCTTGAGTAGGAAGGCAGTGAGTATGGGCAGTCTTGCATTTATTCCTGTTGGGGAGAGACCTCTTGCGGTTGATGTTTAGGCTTTGGCCAACCAGCTAGTGAGATTGGATATTTCGGAGCCTAGTCGGGTTCTAGTTTGTGTGGTTTCTCGGTCATCCTTATTTGATCGCATTAGGGAGCGCCAGTATGATGATCCTCATTTGCTTGTCCTAAAGGACAAGGTTCAGCATGATGATGCCAGAGATGTGACTATTGGAGATGATGAGGTATTGAAGATGCAGGGCCAGATATGTGTGCCAAATGTAGATGGGCTTCGGGAGTTGATTCTGGAGGAGGCCCACAGCTCGCAGTATTCCATCCATCCGGGTGCCGCGAAGATGTACAAGGATTTGAGACAGCACTATTGGTGGAGGAGAATGAAGAAAGATATAGTTGGGTTTGTAGATCGGTGTCTCAACTATCAACGGGTGAAATATAAGCATCAGAGGCCAGGTGGCTTGCTTTAGCAGATAGAGATTCCAAAGTGGAAGTGGGAGCGAATCACCATGCACTTCGTAGTTGGGCTCCCACAGACTTCGAGGAAGTTCGATGCAATTTGGGTGATTGTGGATCGGCTGACCAAATCCGCGCACTTCATTCCTATGAGTACTACCTATTCTTCAGACTGGTTCGCCGAGATTTACATCAGGGAGATTGTTCGCCTGCACGGTGTGCCAGTTTCCATCATATTGGACAGAGGCATGCAGTTTACATCATAGTTTTGGAGAGTCGTGTAATGAGAGTTGGGCACTCAGGTTGAGTTGAGCACAACATTTCATCCTCGGACGGGCATACAGTTTGAGCACACTATTCAGATATTAGAGGACATGTTACGTGCGTGTGTCATTGATTTTGGTAGTTCATGGGACCAGTTTCTGCCGCCGCGGAGTTTGCTTACAACAACACTTAACAGTCGAGCATTCAAATGGCTCCGTACGAGGCTTTATATGGGAGGCAGTGTAGATCCCCAGTGGGTTGGTTCGAGCCGGGCGAGGCTAGGCTATTGGGTACTGACCTGGTTTAGGATGCAATGGACAATGTGAAATTGATTCAGGAGCGGCTTCGCACGGCACAGTCGAGACAGAAGAGCTATGCTGACAGGAAGGTCTGTGATGTGTCTTACATGGTTGGGGAGAAGGTTCTGCTGAAGGTTTCACCCATGAAGGGTTTTATGAGATTAAAAAAGAAGCGCAAGTTGAGCCCTCGGTTCATTGGGTCTTTTGAGGTACTTCAGAGGATTGGAGAGGTGGCTTACAAGCTTGCCCTACCACCCAGCTTGTCGAGTGTGCATCTAGTTTTCCATGTTTCTATGCTCCGGAAGTATATCGGCGATCTGTCCCATATTTTGGATTTCAACACGGTTTAGTTAGATGGTGATTTGACTTATGATGTAGAGTCGATGGCTATTTTGGAGTTGCATGTTCGAAAGTTGAGGTCAAAGGATATAGCTTCAGTGAAAGTGCAGTGGAGAGGTCAGCCCGTGGAGGGATGCTTGGGAGACCGAGCGGGAGATGCGGAGCAGATATCCACACCTATTTGAGACTCAGCAATGTTTCTAGACCCGTTCGAGGACGAACGTTTGTATAAGAGGGGATGATGTAACGACCCGGCTGGTCGTTTCGAGAGTTATAGCCATGTTTCCCCCATTTCCTGCTTCTTTTGTGATCTACAACTATATTATGATATACCGGGTTAGTTGATTTGGGTTCGGAGTGGTTTCAGAGTGAATTGAGACACATAGTCTCTTATTTGAAAGTTATTGAAATAAATTGTATTTGCATAGCTCGTCACTGCTTCTCGGTTCCTTATTTATTTCTGTTACTTACTGAGTTGGAAGTACTCACGTTACTCCCTACACCTTGTGTGTAGATTCAGGTGAGACCAATCGCGGAGGTCATTGAGTTCGTGCGCAGTTGACTATCGGAGATCTACGAAGTAGCTGCCGGCGTCTGCAGCCCTTGTCTCTCCTTCCATTGTTATCCTTCTTTCTATTTTTTTTTAGAAATTTGAAATTAAAAAAAAAGTAAAAAGAAACTTTTTTTTGCACGGGGAGGGGGGGGGGGTAGGGGTGCAGAAAACGAAAAACAGAAATTTGAAAATTATAAAAAAAAAAAGTAAAAAAAAAAACTTTTTTTGTGTGCGGGGGGGGGGGGGGGGGGAAAGTGAGGTTGGGGTTTGGTGGGGATAGCAGGGTGGGTGGTGATGGAAAAAAAAACTGAAATTTAAAAAAAAAAATCTTTTTTGAGAGAGAGGTGGGAGGGGTTTGGGTGGGTGGGTGTGGGGGTGGGTTGGGGGATAGGGTAGAGAAGGTTAAGAAGGAGTTTTGAAAAATATTTTCCCTTCTCTTGAAAAGAAAAATATTTTCCTCCAAGTGGAGGAAAATGAGTTTATAAGGAAAATATTTTCCAACATATCTAAGCCAACCAAACATGAGAAAATTAGAAAACGGTTTCCGAAAAATATTTTCCTTCGTACCAAACACACCTTAGCGTTACTCAAGTTTCTTTAATTTTAGGCTTGTACATGCTTCTTCCCGTGCTAATGATAAATTCTAAAGTAAAAGTATGATATTTTTATATGTGGTATATAATGAGCTATACAAGATATTGGACTGTGGGAAGCCTTCTGTTACACCAAACAAAAGGAAACCGGTAATGTCGCATTCTGTTGATTTTAAAAGGTGAGTTCGTTTAAGTGTTTGCTTTAGGTCTCTGTTTTATATTTTAATGTGCTAATCTATGAGCACTCTTTATTAGTTACTAAGGTAAGATGTTGAAGTTTCTAATTTAAGATCATATTTTATAGCAGTTCGGGTTATAAATATATGAGCACTGCTTTATTAGTTACTAAGGTGGAATTTTGGAAGTGTATGGGAGAGCAGGTTTGGAGTGGTTGATTAGGTTGTTTAATGTTATTTTTAAGGCTAAGAGGATGCCGGATGAGTGGAGGTGGAGTACGGTGGTTCCATTGTAAAGAACAAAGATGATATCCAGAGTTGTAACAATTATAGGGGTATCAAATTACTGAGTCATACCATGAAAGTGTGAGAGAGGGTGGTTGAAGCGAGGGTGAGGATGACAGAGTCTGTATCCGACAACCAGTTTGGGTTCATGCCGGGTCGTTCTACTACAGAAGCTATACACCTTGTTAGTAGGTTGGTGGAACTGTACAGAGAGAGGAAAAAGGATTTGCACATGGTGGATAGGGTCGAGGGCGAAGGACGCAGACGGGTATAAACTTTAGTACTCAGGAGTCCAAAAAGATAAGAATGGAGTGAGTATCTTGGTGGATAGGGAACTTAGAGAGTCTGTGGTTGAGGTTAGATGAGTGGATGATAGATTGATGATTATTAAGTTGGTGGTCGGGGAGTGCACCCTAAACGTCGTTAGTACCTATGCGCCGCATGCGGGCCTAGATGAGGATCTTAAACAGCGCTTCTGGGAAGGGTTAGATGAGATTGTGCGCCAGGTCCCGCCTGCTGAGAAGCTATTCATAGGAGGGGATTTCAACGGTCATATTGGGTCGACCGCAGGTGGCTATGGCGAGGTGCATGGAGGCTTCGATTTTGGGGAGAGGAACGGAGGAGGTACCTCGTTGTTGGACTTTGCTAAGGCTTTTTGGGTTGGTGATTGCGAACTCTAGCTTTCCGAAGAGGGAGGAGCATTTGATTACTTCCCAAAATGCGGTGGTGAAGACTCAGATTGACTATCTCCTCCTCAGGAGGTGTGACAGAGGGATGTACAAGGATTGCAAGGTGATTCCGGGTGAGATACTCGCGACATTATAGGCTCTTGGTGATGGACGTTAGTATTATGTTAAAAAGGAGGAAAAGGTGTGCTCGAGGAAGACCGAGAATTAGGTGGGGAGCATCGACTAAGGATAAAGTCCAAGAGTTAGAGGGGTGGTTGTCGGCTGTGGGAGCTTGGAGGAGCAGTGGTGATGCGAGCTCTATGTGGTCAGTGACAACAGACTGTATAAGAGAGGCTGCGAGAGAGGTGTTAGGGGTCTCGACGGGCATCTCTGGTGGGCGCAAAGGAGACTGGTGGTGGAATTAAGTGGTCCAAGGTAAAGTGGAAACGAAGAAGGCGGCATACCTGAAGTTAGTGGGGAGCATAAGTAAGGAGGAGAGGCGAACGTGCATGGAGAGGTATAAGGTAGCTAGGAAGGAAGCTAAGCTGGCGGTCACGGAGGCTAGGACAACGGCTTTTGGTCGTATGTATGAGGAACTGGGGGAAAAAGGCAGGGAGAAGAAGTTATTTCGGCTGGCCAAGTTGAGGGAGAGGAAGGTTCGGGATTTGGACCAAGTGAGATGCATCAAGGACGAAGATGGTAGAGTATTGATGGAAGATGCTCAGATTAAGAGGAGACGGCAGGCTTACTTTCATAAACTTTTGAATGAAGAAGGGGATCGGGTTATTGTGCTAGGCGAATTGGAGCATTCCGAGAGTTACCGTGACTTTGGGAACTACAGGCGTATCAAGGTTAGGAAGGTCGTAGGAGCTATGTGTAAGATGAAGAGGGGCAGAGCAACCAGACCAGACGAGATTCCGGTGGAATTTTGGAAGTGTATGGAGAGAGCAGGTTTGGAGTGGTTGACTGGGTTGTTTAATGTTATTTTTAAGGCGAAGAGGATGCCGGATGAGTGGAGGTGGAGTATGGTGGTTCCATTGTATAAGAACAAAGGTGATATCCAGAGTTGTAACAATTATAGGGGTATAAAATTACTGAGTCATACCATGAAAGTGTGGGAGAGGGTGGTTGAAGCTAGGGTGAGGATGGCAGAGTCTGTATCCGACAACCAATTCGGGTTCATGCCGGGTTGTTCTACTATAGAAGCTATAGACCTTGTTAGGAGGTTGGTGGAACTATACATAGAGAGGAAGAAGAATCTGCACATGGTGTTCATTGACCTATAGAAAGCGTATGACAAGGTTCCTAGAGAAGTTCTCTGGAGATGCTTGGAGGCAAAAGGTGTGTCGGTTCCCTACATTATGGAGATTAAGGATATGTATGATGGGGCTAAGACTCGGGTTAGGACAGTAGGAGGCCACTCTGAGCATTTTTCGGTTGTAATGGGATTACACCAAGGTTTTGCTCTCAGTCCGTTCTTATTCGCCTTGGTAATGGACCCGTCAACACACCATATTCAAGGGGAGGTGCCATGGTGCATGCTATTCGCCGATGACATAGTTCCGATTGATGAGTCGCGAGCTAGTGTTAACGAGAAGCTGGAGGTTTGGAGACAGGCTCTTGAGTCTAAGGGTTTCAAGCTGAGTAGGACGAAGACGGAATACTTGGAGTGTAAGTTCAGTGCTGAAGCGGGAGAAGTGGGCGTGGATGTGATGCGTGAATCACACGTCGTCCCAAGTAGAGGCAACTTCAAGTATCTTGGATCGGTTATCCCGGGGGAGGGGGGGGGGGGAGATCGACGAGGATGTCACACACCGTATTGGGGTAGGATGGATGAAGTGGAGGTTAGCATCTGGAGTCCTGTGCGAAAAGAGAGTGCCACCGATACTCAAAGGTAAGTTCTATAAAGCGGTGGTTAGACCGGCTATGATGTTTGGGGCTGAGTGTTGGCCTGTTAAGAACTCACATATTCAGAAGATGAAAGTAGCAGAAATGAGAATGTTGAGGTGGATGTGCGGGAACACTAGGATGGATAAGATTAGGAATGATATTATTCGGGAGAAGGTACACGTGGCTCCAATTGATGACAAGATGCGAAAAGCGAGGCTAAGATGGTTTGGGCATGTTCAGAGGAGAAGCCCAGATGCTTTGCTAAGGAGTTGTGAGAGGCTGGTTGTGGAGGGCACGAGAAGAGGTAGAGGGCGGCCTAAGAAGTACTGGGGAGAGATGATAAGGTAGGATATGGCGAGGCTTCAGATCCGAGGACATGATACTTGATAGAAAGATGTGGAGGTCGAGTATTAAGGTTGTAGGTTAGGAGGTAGTTGAGTCTTGCCTTACTTCGTGCCATTGTGGGACTAGTCTAGTAGGATTTTTGTCTAAGATAGCTAGTGGCAATGTTGTGTCTTACTATTTCGTCTTTCAGTGCATGACCTATTTAATAGCTATCGCTTTTGCTTTGCTTTGCATCTTTCTTCTGGATTTCATGTTGTTCCTATTTTTCCTATGATTTCTATGGTGATACTAATATTGTTTCCTTTTTGTCTTTTATTTTCTTGAGCCGAGGGTCTTTCGGAAACAACCTCTCTACTCCTTCGAGGTAGGGGTAAGGTGCGTACACACTACCCTTCCCAGACCCCATTAGTGGAATTTTACCAGGTTGTTGTTGTTGTTGTTGTTGTTGTTGTTTTATAGTATTTTAGCGGGTTAATACGTAAGCGTGCATTAAATTCTTCTTCTGATGAGAAAATTTTGTGCTTTGCGACCCGATAAATATTGTTGTTGCTCGAGGATAGAGAATTGTTGCATTACTTTTTTTTGCTTTTTCTGAGTTGAAGGAAACTTCATTCAAAGTGCAGTTGTATCAAAGATCAAGTTTTTGTGAAACCTCTTATCTGAGTTCCAGTCATTGCATTTATCTTTATTATTTGTTATATTTGAGGTATTTTTCAGATTGAAATTCATATCCGGGAGTCGAGGCATGTGAATCAATAGAGAAAGATTCGTCACATAGAGTGGGGAGTTTTGTCAACTAGCCTATGGCGTTTGAAAATTTTCATGAATTTTCATAATGATGTTATTGGAATCGCAGTTGAAGAGTATACAACTCTATGCCTTTGTCATCCCCTTTTTCATGTTTGTGAGAGTTGTGTTCAATTTGATTCATTTTTTAATCATCATGTGAAAAATTCAAGCATGCATTGGTTCCTCTTTTTTGGTATTATAATAATCTAGAGCTATCTTTTGGGTACATTATTTGAGTATTTTACTCTTTGTGTTTGAATTTCTCTTCAATGTGTGAAATAGTGGGATCAATCTCTCATTCTTACTACTTATCCCATTCAAATCAAACCAATTTTCAGACAAAGAAGATAAAAAAAGAAAAACTATATTGCCTAGGAAAGCTCCGAAAATTCTATGGGAAATTGAAAAGAAGTGTGAGGAAGATAACTATGGAATTGAAGGCAACAACTCAAAACTAATTAAATGGGTTTATTTGCAATTACTTCCTGATTAATTATCTAGCTACGAACTTGCTATGTTTGGTACTTTTCACTTGGTGATTAATGGAAATAGTTTAGTTACCAACATTAAAAAACTCATGAAGTAATTTAGGAGTTCGTGACTAATTGCTTTGAGAATTATTTAAATAATAAGTGGTGATTGAATAAATTTTGTTAATGTTTCTTTTTTCCCATACTTATGTCTGATTAAATTTATGAAGACTATTTCCCAAATAATTGATATGTTGCGCAGTTTAAATTACTAGCTATAAGACATAATTGGGCATAAATTAGTAGAAAGTGATTTTCTTAAATTATTTTTATACCTAATTTTTGATAAATTTAATACTTAAAACAATTGAGGGTATTTTAATAAATTTATTAGTTATAGTACAATACGCTACAGTATAACCAAATAGGCAAATGTTATCTAACAACAACAAACAATACAATCAGGGGCGGAGTTACAGTAATAGGTGCGGGCTCGGATGAACCCAATGACATTTTTCCTAACCTTGTATTTCTATTGAAAAATTCGCTCTTACATAAATATATCTCACGCCAAAGTCCAAACCCAATAACTAAGGGCATCTGGGTTCAGTGGTTAGGACTCTAGGTTCTCATGGAAGACATGCATATTCAAATCCCCTTAAACGCAATAAATTTTATTGTGCTTTTACCACGTTTCTTTTCTTTTTTTCATAAAAAATAACACAAGCTTTGGGTCACAGTCCTTTCTTAATATTTAGAACCCACACATTTCAAACCCTAGCTCCACCTCTGGATACAATCTATCCAAATATTGTATTCATAAAATGATACAATACAATATATTATAAAACGATGGATAACAATGATCCAAAAAGAGTGTAAAGTACAAGGTAAATACAACATCCACATTGTTCATTTGTAGCTGAACATTTTTTTTTTTTAAAGAAGTGCTAAAAAAAATCCCCTTAAACTATTCAACTTTTATAAGTTTCCTAGAGTTAACATCTCCAAAACCCTCTAATTATTTTATTTGCGACTGCAAGGGGCGCGTGACTACTGAAAAAAGCAATCAAAATGACCTAATCTGACCATGTGTAATAGCTAATTCGCTTGACGTTTTTAAAAAAATGTATTTTCTTATTTTCTCCTTATTTTCTTAAATTATAGGCTTTCTTCTTCTTCTTTTTTCATTTTTCTTTCTTCTTTTTTTTAGCTGGGTTAATTTGGAAAAAAAAAATCATCTCTTGTTTCTTCTGAAATTATTTTACGCCTTTATTGTTTTACTCTTCAATTCTTGTGGGTTGGTGAATGATTTTGGTCATGCTCCTTTACAATGTCCCTAAAATGAAATCCCCGCAATCAGTTTTTATTGGCCTTTAATATGGCTGTCCAACGGGACGGGACGGGACGGGACGGGACGAAATTAACGGGACGGGATGGGACGGGACGGGATGACATTTAAGCGGGACGGTGGCGGGACGGGACGAAACGGGACGGGACAAACGGGACGAAACGGTC